GGAGCTGATTTCAAGTTTCATGAAGCTGCCATATTGCGTGATACTCTGAATTTTTGCAATTTCTGTGACTTTCACGTGGAATAATAATAGGGGAGGGGATGAGAATGATCAAGAAAGAATTGATCGATTTGTCGCGATTACCGAATGGAAGGACATTTTTGCTGGGGATTTTGTAACACACCTTGAACGAAGAAAATCGTGTGTACAAGGTGAAAGATAAGAAGAGAATTTTTTTTTTTTTTGTTTTGAGGAAATGTGGCTTAAGGATGTGTCTTGTGAGAATATAATTTGTGATACATGGGATGGTGGTGGGGATGTTGCGACAAATTTATCCAAAACTAGATGCTAGTAGCTTGGGTTCGTGGAGCAAAGGGAAATTCAAAAAAATTGTTAAAGAAATGAGAAATTGCAAACTGCATATGTCTTAGCTTATGGAAGAAGAGCAAACTCCGGAATTTTTGGCTCTAATGAGAGCCATTGACGAAGGTTTAGATGAATAGGAAGAGAGGGAGGAGATATATTGGAAGCAAAGGAGTAGACAAGAATGGCGATAAAAATAGCAAATTCTTCCATGCCAAGGCTAAACAAAGAGCTCATCGCAATAATATCGAGACTATTTGGGATGAGGCGGGTAATTGCTATGAGGATGAAGCTCAAATCTCTGAAGTTCTTGCTGGTTACTTTGAGAATCTCTTTGGCTCTACTTGTCATGTTGATTCGGAAAGGATCATTGATTTGGTGGAGCCTCGCTTAACTGCTCCAATGCTAAAATTTGCTAGCTGAACCTTTTAGAGGTGATGAAGTTTACACGGCTTTGAAGCAAATGCACCCCACGAAAGCGCCGGGTCCTGATGGTATGTGTGCTCTCTTCTATAAAAAATTTTGGCATATTGTTGGTTTAGATGTGCTAAGCGTGTCTTGAATATTTTGAAATGTTGGTGAAATTGAGTCTATTAATCATACTTTCATTGTGTTAATCCCAAATAAGAAAATTTGTGAAAATCTTGTGGATTATAGACCAATTAGTTTGTGTAATGTGCTTTATAAGATTGTTACCAAGGTGCTTGCAAACAGAATGAAATTAGTTCTTCCAGATATTATTCATGAGTCCCAAAGTGGTTTTGTTCCGGGAAGACTTATTTCTGATAATATTTTGGTGGCATATAAGTGTTTCACTATTTGAGAAAAAAGAAGGGGAAAATGGGTCATCTTGGGCTCAAGCTTGACATGAGCAAAGCATATGATCTGGTAGAGTGGTCTTTTTTGGAGAGTATGATGAGGAAATTAGGCTTCCCAAGTGCCTATGTGGAGAACATCATGAAATGTGTTACATCAGCTTCTTTCTCCATCTTAGTTAACGACCAACCTTCCCGGGGTTTCCGTCCCTTTAGAGGACTCCGGCAAGGGGATCTGTTATCCCTCTTTCTCCTCATTATTTGTGGAGAGGGCCTTTCTACTCTCCTTAGAGATGCTGAGCAGAAAAAGTTAATTCATGGGGTTAAAATTGGTATATTTTGCAAATGATAGTCTTTTGTTCATACGAGCAAACGATAAGGAGGTGGAGAACGCTCTTGATATTCTTGCTACTTATGAGTCTGCTTCGGGTCAGAAATTGAAAATGGAAAAATCTGAGGTGTCCTTCAGCCGAAATGTTGAGCCAGAAAAGCAAAATATGCTTCAGTCGAAGTTATCTTTTAAGGCCGTGGAGGGTCATAAGCTTGCGCATATTAGTAAGGATTATGATGTAATGAGGGTATGGATTGAGGAACTCCCTATGAGTGCCTTAGAGGACGTAAACTGTGATATTTTGCTTCTTTCTTAATAAAGCTGGTTCCTATTTTTGTAAAAAAAAAAAAAGTTAAATTAGAACAATTGTTAGACCTTAGTCATTAACACTCTACTTGTCAACTTTTGATTGGGACCAAATTTGTTCCACACTGTTTCATTTTGAAGACATATATGTATCTCCTTAGTTTTACTACTTTTATATATATATATATATATATATATATAAAATCTATTATATACATATATATAATAATATAAATAAATAGCTGATAAATTCAAATACAATAAATCTAGAGTAAATAAGTTCAGGTTAATTAAGTTTGTACACAACGGGTGTACATTAATTTTATTGTAAAACGATCGGTTTGAGCGTAACTTTAACTATTTTTATGGTAACTTTAACCACTTAAAGGGTAACTTTTAATTTGTCGTTGTTTTGAATTTTATTTTAATATGTAATTTCTTATAGATACGTGATTACATAATATAAAGATTAATATGATTAATTTAATACATTATAAGTTTTTTGTAAGATAAAATTTATTAATAGAAAAATAATAACTTTAGCAATATAAAGGGTAACATTATATGTACTTTTAACATAACTTTAACATGTTTTACAATAAATTAACGTACACCCGCCTTTTTGAAGAATTTGTATAAGATAACAAAGCGATTTTAAATATTTATAGGTGTAACAAAAGTTGAGTTAAATTCTTATCATAATTGAAAATCAAGTAAAGACAACAATAAGGAGCGTAACCTAATTACATAGTCTAATGGATACCGACAATTATTTTGTTTACTGCATTGACCGAATAATTATGTGGTTGAGCTAATTAGTAATTAAAGAATGTAAAATGAATATAGATTTATAACTACATAAAATCATCATTATATGCATGATTGGATTGGTAGGTCGTAGTAAAATCCTATCACGCAAAATTAAACCCTAGTTGGATTTGGGATAGTATGGTCCTACAAATAATAAGTTGGAATTAGTGACATATTTTTAAATTGTAAGATCCACATTGGGATTTTAACATCAATTATTATTGCATAATTGTTATTGTAGTTGTTGTTCTTGTTATTACAATATAATGTTAGGCTATATAACTACTACATCTTTGTTTTACAAAAAATATATAACTACTACAACTTAACAACTACAATAACACTTTTCCTCAAAAAAATAAATAAAATAAAATAACGCTCTCCATTTTAGCTCCTACCTTTCTACTATACTTGTTGTAGCATTACTAGCGTTCTCTTCATAAGACATTGAGCTTAATCTAGCACTTGAAATATGATCTAGTAGCAATTATTTGATACTCTAAAACCAAGACAAATAATTGCTTTATTTGAAATATATCTAATTAGTATGATTGGAGCTTTTATGGTGGTCGATTGAAATATGACTATCATCATAATGTTTTTAAAAGTATACTTCTTTATTTTTTGTATAAAATAGTACCATTAACATTATTTTTTATTTATTTATTAAATTTTTAGTCTCATTTATGTAATTTTAATTTTTATTTTATAATTTCTCGAAAAACATTTCAACTTTTTGTGTGGCAGGGGTTATTTATATACTTATTCAGGGTTTACTTGTAGGGATATACTTGTAGGGGTTACTTATTCAGTTGGTTAGCGTGTTTTCAGTGTGAGAGTAACCCCTGACCGACCAAGTAACCCTATAATTTACCTATGACCAAATGAGTAACCCCTAAATAAGTAACCCCTGACCAAACGAGTAACCTCTGAATAAGTAATCCTAGAATAAATAACCCCTGACCAAACAAGTAACCCCCTACAAGTAATCCCGACTACACAGATGACAGGCCAGCCACATATAAAAAATTGGGTTTTTTTTTTCTCTTTTATGATGGATTAAAATTTCAAAAATTATATTTGCATTGTAGATATTAAAAGACTAATTATTTTCATATTATAATGTGAAAAAATGAACCGATCATATATATTATTTTAACATTAAAATAATATTTTATTCATATTTCAAACAACCGTTATAAAAACATCTTTGTATGACATAATTTTGAGCATATTTACCTTTATAAACAAATTTAGATACTTTCCTTAAAAAAAAAATTTAATTTAGATACTAATGCTGCCCTACCTTTAATTTGCTACCACAAATTGTGCCATAATAATGCATTTGTTAATATCTTTTGGAAAAATTGAAACTAATATTCTCACATTTGTGCAGTCTGCTTAAAATAATCTCACTTTCACGAAATTTGGAAATAATCCCATCTTGAACATCAATCTGCTCAAAACAACTCCTGGTCGATTTTACTGGGTTGGTAATCAGTTAAAGAAGGTGACTTGCCACATGTCACCTCCTAATTATTTTTTTAATAATTGAAAAAAAAAATCAGCTCCCTCATCATGTTTCTTTTCCATCTTCCTCGATCCCCCGCCTGAACCAACCCTACCTCATTTTCGTTCTTGTTCACCAAAACCAACCCTACCCCTTTCCTTGCCAAACTATCACATCCCCACCCCCTTACCCGAGTTCTCTTTCCCTTTCACCCATTGACATTGGCATCAAGGTTTTTTTAAACTTGAATATTGTCTTACATGTTCAATGGTAAGGTGGGGATTAGGCAGGTTTTGGGGTGGAGGAAGTTTTAGGATTAGTGGGATTCTGTTAAGAGTGGGGCTTTCAACAAATCATTTGAGATGTCCAAAACTCGCTCGATGTGACTTAAAGTTACTCAATCCATATTTCGACATCTACAGGCGCAATAATTTAGCATTAATCAAACTTGAACTAAACCCAACCCGATCCGACATAACCAAACCTAGCCAAGTCATCTAAATTGACCCCTCTACCTATTGTACACCAGCCCTCAATCTTTGCCAAGACCTTATCGTTATTATCTAGACTAACGATTATACTTTTAAAAGCAAATCACCAACACCAAGATTGGATCATATGCTTTAATTCTTGAAAACAAGATTTGTGAAACATATTGCCAATTGGGCAATGGGGGTTCAAGAATCAAGACCAATATACATGGGCTACTATGTTCATATTATTGTGCTTAATTTCACAAAATCTTAAGTATCTTATCTATATTCCATGGGTTGATCCATAAACAATTATAAAATAATCCAATCTAATTTATTGGATTAGACCCATATCCGAATCCTATACCCATTTGCCATTTCTAACCAATGCCAAAAGTCTAAATTTCCCAAATTCTCAAGATCAAAGTTCTTATCTTTTCCATCATCAAACCAAATCCAAACTTGTCTCATTTCTCTCTTTCTCTCTCCTCACTCGCAGAACTTCAATTCAATTCTTGAAGCTGCAACAATGGAGGCATTAGCAGGTTCTAGAATCTATTTTCCATGCATAAAACCCCCAACTATGAAGCATAATTTCGGAAGACAACAACGGGTAATGATTACCAGAGCCTCCATTGCTGTTGAACAAAAAACCCCACAATCTAAAGTTGCTCTTGTTAGGATTGGAACTCGAGGAAGGTACCATTTTTTGTTTTATTTTCTGGGTTTGTCAAAATGTACCTTTTATTTTCGATTTTGATGTCTTTGATCTGATTTGGGTTCTGTTTGACACTTACCGGAAATTGTGTTTAATGTTTGGATGGAGATATGTGTTTTTTTTAGTGTATCGAGAGCTCTAGGGTAATGATGTAGATGAGATTCGATTCGAGGTATTGGGTGTCGTCCCCAAGACTTTAACCCGCTAGGCTAGTTGACATCCACGAAAACGATGTGTATTACCCTTATATTTTGGGGCAGGAGGGAAGGAAGTGGGGAGAGGGGGTCTGTATGATGTATGTAGCTGCTAAATTTGTACAAATTGGCTTGGTTAAGGAAAATTGAAGATTTTGCTTACTTAATGAATTATGTGTAGGATTAGATTAAGTCAATACGTGGGGCATGTTGGTTGCATTGTTTATAAGTTTGAGCTTTGTTTTCATTTAAAGAATATTGGTTCAAGTAGTACATTGACGTCAATAGGTAACATTGGATGTTGAATAATTAATGTGCTTGATTGAAATTCGGAAATCAACGAATCCTCGCTATTGGATGCATTATGTGTTATCAGTAATTGTGGCTCCCTCCATCAAGATTTTGTTGTAACATTATTAGTTCAAAACATTATCAGCATGACTATGATTTCCAAGCAGAGGGAGCAATTTACAACTAAGGATTGCAGGATTCTACAAGCTTTTAGATCCTTTTTGATAATCACATGACTACTACCAGGATTTAGTCTATCCTGGTCCCCCTTGGATACACAAAAAATATGTCCATTTCTCATTGATCACTGCAGACACTAGAAATGCCTTAATTTCTGCAGTTTCACGGTTTGTAGGATATCCACATTTTCCTCTAAACTACATGATCATTGCCAAGTTCTTCAGTCATATGTATGAAACTTGTAGAATGCCCTTCCAGATTAAGCTGGAAATCAATATAATATCCTGTAACACAAATTGCTCTAGGGATCTTTTGGTCATCAGTTCTTCTGGCAATTCAGTGCCCATGTTGATCCTCTAATTGATGGTCTTTTTTTAATTCTATTCTCTTCTCCTTGTTAGTTTTACATAGTATGATATCGTGAGAAGGCTTTATTTTTTATTGATGTTGTAGTCTCATCAACATATTTCTACTGGAGTTATATGCATTATTTGTATGTGTAGGACAGTCCATTAGCACTTGCTCAAGCTTATGAAACACGATCCAAGCTTATTGCAGCTCATGAGGAGCTGGCCGAGGAGGGAGCGATTGAAATTGTGATAATAAAAACCACTGGTGATAAGATACTTACTCAACCATTGGCAGACATTGGTGGGAAAGGCTTATTTACTAAGGAAATTGATGAGGCCCTCTTGAATAATGATATTGATATTGCTGTTCACTCCATGAAGGATGTTCCAACATATTTGCCAGACAAAATAGTTCTACCTTGCAACCTTGAGCGTGAGGATGTTCGTGATGCCTTTATTTCTACCACTGCAACTTCCTTAGCAGACCTTCCTGCTGGTAGTGTTGTTGGTACCGCGTCACTGAGAAGGAAATCTCAATTACTACATAAATATCCATCCCTTGAAGTAAGTCTACTTACTATTTTTCTTTTCTCCATCATTCTAAGGATGCCTTGAAAACTAAAGGAAATTCATATACCCTGCTTGTTATAGCTGAGTGATACAATTAATTATTTAATACAGTGCTTGAAAAACAACCCCTTTTTCCCATTATAGTCTCATGTACCTCAAGAGAATGAGCTAGTACAATATTTCCTATGATCTGTTTAGGCATGGATTTTCCACCTTTTACAAAACCCAATGGAGGAGTGTTTAAACTTGGTATCCATTAAAGGCTTTTACAGTGGTTGAGAAAAAACTTTGGTGTCGTCTGTTTTAACAAAGTAATGCACAAATGAAAAAGCATATTGCCAGTTTCATTGAGGGTGGTACTGAAATAAACAAGGCAGACTGCAAATTTTGTACTTCGTATAATAATTTAATTATTTGTCTATGTGCTTTTAAGCTGTAAGCTCAAATTTGATAGCAGTAATTTTGTGTGATAAAATCCTGTCCAGTAACAAAATTAGCTTGTTGTGTTGAAGGGCCAGCTTCTCAATCGATACAATGTAGATTACCGAAAGTACTGTGTCAGCATTTAAAAGAACTTGTGACTAATAACAGAAAACATTAAGTTAAGCTTTTTTTATGTTAATATGACAAAATTGGGATCGGATTGTGAATCCCTTATTACTCCGTATACTGATTGGCTGTTCTGGTACAGAACATAATTACTGCAGTTGGTATACTTTATTAATCTATAATGATACTGTGAACCTTTGGGTATTGTACTCATTGCTGGTCGTGCTGGCATTTTCTATTTAGACATGGATGTTTTCTTCTCTTAAATCACTTTTTTCAGAGGGGGACTACTCACAATTTGGAAATCCATTTAAATTTAAATTTCATTGACTAGACAGTACTTACTGATTTGGTTTATATATTTATGCAGGTACTGGATAACTTCCGTGGCAATGTACAGACGCGTTTGAAAAAGCTTAACGAAGGATTAGTGCAGGCAACACTTTTGGCATTGGCTGGACTAAAGCGATTAAATATGACTGAGAATGTTTCTTCTGTTCTTTCTATTGATGATATGCTTCCAGCTGTTGCTCAAGGAGCAATTGGAATTGCTTGCCTAAATCATGATGAAAAGATGGTAAGTTTGATTATTCCAAGTTATTCCTTAGCATATATACACATTGATTTTACATGAATGGGGCAATATGCCAAGTAATCAGTAGTATGGGCACTGATGCTTATCCATACTATTTGTTCACTCATCAACTCTTAAACTTTTTCTACTTGTCCAAATGGGATGCTCAAATTAAAATTGATCCGGAATGTGTGAATTTTCCTTGTTTGGTTGAAAGTGTAATAATTATTGTTTATGGTGGGGCAGAGATTAATCTTGGACTAGTCTGTATTACTTGTTACTATCATTTTAGAATACGATTTGTCTTGTATAATGAACTTAATTATCTTGATGATGAAATCCTGTGCAAAGCAATTGAATGTGATGAGGCACATCAGAAGGTCTCCTTATTTGTTCTCATCTTTTGGTTTGAATTCTAGAAATGATTTTGAAAATGTTGTGTGAGTTTATGTGTTTATTACCTGTTAAATGAATGATGAAGCAATTGGAATTACATGAATTCTGTGGGGAAGCTCTGTGGTGAGTTTAGTTAGACTTGAAGGAGAATTATATAAAATTTGTCATTCAGATGTGATTTCAAGACTTATAGGTTTTGATTAAAAGATACATTTTTGCAAGTGTTTTGATTAAAGACCAAATTATTGGGTACAGTGGTGGAAACTATAATTTGATAAACTCAGGTTTCCTTGAGCTCTCTGTGCTTCGTGTAAGCCATACTTTCTTGCAATACTCCCGTTAATTTGGATTTAGTACCCTATCAAATTGAGAGAGAGAATGCACAACCGTGAACTATATCAATCACATACTTGGAGCCTTGGAGGAGTAATGTGTTGCCTAATATGTTCCATAGGGCTCCTAAAGTTTAATTCATTGTCAATTGTTTTGAATTTACAATGCTTCAAGTTATAAAATCTGCAATCGATTTTTCTTAGATGGAGATGAATGATTTTATTTCTTCATGTTCTCAATATTTGAGCTACTTTGGTTTTTATAACAGGCGGTGATTATGCAAATAATTTCAGTGCTTTGTCATTTATTTGCTAAATTCCATCCCACTTTTTCCAAACTAATGCTCTCTTTTGTTTACTGAACCATTTTTTTTTTCCAGGCAAACTACCTAGCCTCTTTAAATCACGAAGAAACTCGATTAGCAGTTGCTTGTGAGAGAGCATTCCTTGAGACCTTGGATGGGTCATGTCGTACTCCTATTGCTGGTTATGCTTGCAGAGATGAAAATGGGGACTGCTTTTTCAGGGGAATTGTGGCTTCTACAGACGGAAAGAAAGGTAGATCTATTTCACTGGTTGTCCATTTTCTTTCTGGTTGTTTTGATAGATGGGGATGGCATTAGCCATACTTACCTAGCTCTATGACATACCTCATTTGATTTAGGGCCATTTGTAAGGAACTCTCGCTAGAGTATCATAACTTTTCTTCACTTCTTTAATTTTATAACTCTTAACTTACATCCGAACCAATTTAGCAATGTAGTCTATCTGTAGAATTCTTACAAGGGTATTATGGATGTTCAGATTTTGACTTACTAGAAGTTCAAAAAGCATCATAGCGAACTATAGATTAGTACCCAAATAATTTGGACAGAGGGAGCTAAATTATTTTTATGGTATCTTGCAGTAATTGAGACTTCTCGAAGGGGTTCATATGCTTTCGATGATATGGTAGCGATGGGAAGAGATGCTGGAAAGGAGCTTCTTTCAAAGGCTGGTCCTGGTTTTTTTGATCCAAGATAATATTTGGAAGTAACACAAGATTCAAGAGAAACTCGTTTCCTGATCTCTGATGATCCCCTCAATGTTGTTGTAGCAGTAGCATGGTGTTTGGTAATGTAGCGACAATAGCATGATGATATTCTTTAGGCTTTTGTAGACTTAGGATTTGCATCTTTCAGTATGTGGAAATACAAGTGCTAATCCTGTCGATCGGTTGTATTAGTTTGTATGATTTTGTAATCTGTTGTTTGATTGATGTGTTCAATTTTGGCCTTCATCTCTTCTTTTGATCACACTATCATTTTTTTTTCGTTATTTTCCATTGTTAGTTTGGAGCTTTGGAAGTTTATCGTCTAAGAGGTCCAATAGTGGGATGAATTGATGAGCAATACTTGCAGAACTAGTACGGCCAATTTTTAAGGAAATTTTCATTGATTGTTAAGCTAAGATGATTTCTTTGCTTTTTTTTTTCCCCTTCGTTCTCTTTTGTTTTTGAATAACTAGGCATGCATATTTCTGAATTTTGCTTTTTGTTAAGTTCAGTTTGCATTATTATTGAAGAACTAGATTGCACATATGTTTATGCTTAGAATATTATTACAATCAAATCAATAATAAAATAACTAATGCTAATAGATGCCATAATACCTAAAATTACAATCATACTAAATATAATCTCACAATTATAATACGAGCAATAATAATCTCATAGATAATGCTAATCATATGTTAAACACCGAAAATTTAACTTTTTAGTCGGAATATGTCATTAAGGTGCTATTTTTAAAACAAAATTTAAATTCAAGGTAAAAAAAAATTAAAAAAATAAAAATAAAATAAAAAAAAGGTACTTGTTCACAAATTGACTTAATAACAAGGTATCATTTGACATTTTATTTTCTTATGACAACAAGTCAAACAACACATATTTTATCATGTCTCCAATTTTAAAACATGTGCAATGTTATAGGTACAAACTACAAAGAAGGAAAAAAAAAAAAAAAAAAACAGGTATTTCATAATACCTTGACTAGTTCCATTATCATATCATCATCATCATCATAATCACCTACCAACCTTCGAACCCAGGATCCATTAAATCAAACACCAAGTCTAATCCAGCAGACCAAAGGGAAGATTGGTGTCATAGCCAAGTAATTTTATTTATAAAAAACAACGTTACCACCTACCTAAAAGTATAAAATAAAATAAGTAAAAAAAAAAAAAGTCATATATTAGACATTTTGAAAATACCGATGCCTCTATTTTCTTTTAAACTTTATTGGCACGCTTTTTAGGAGTTGATTAGGGTAAATAAACGAGCGATTTTATCAAAATAATTTGAGCATCAAGATTAGAGAAGGATTAGTAACTATGTGTATAAATAATTTTGTATAACTTGTCCGTTTACATTGTTTAATCTCTTCCTCAAAGTGTGTCAAGAAAGTGTGTTGCATTTAAAAGAAAATGGAGAAAGTATAATAATATTTGAATGAAAGACATAAACGAAGTTGCAAGTATTAAAAAAGGGAGGAAATATACCATTTTTACTCTAGTTTGTGTTTTATGCATAAGATCAAACATAGTTATGAGTGCACATCGTCTCAACGTATAATGTTCAAATACTAACGTTTTACAATTTATATTATTAATAATTAAATATATTATTGATCAATGTTCATCATTGGCAAATGCGACGGTAAAAGAAGGACATGTAAAATTAAACAACCCGCAATTATAAAACTAACACCCATTAGAATTATGAAATAACTTATTAATAACCCCAAGGCTGATTACTATCTACAAATAAAGTTATTCATATCTACAAATTTCTGTAGATCATAACAATGTAAAACACTACTACATAATTTTGTTGCACAACATTAAAATTAGTAACACTTGGTCATGAAGACATAAAATACATGTAACAAAGGGACAAGTGAAAATCTAGAACAACTCCTGCATTCCCTAATTAGTTCAATACAATCTTTGATCACATAATAATTTTGTGACCTATATCCTAACAAAGAAAATGCTAAGTTCAGGACCATTACTCCCATCTGGGTTCATCATGTAATAAGTCTCAGAATCCTTTGATCCGATCACACGCTCAAAAAACGAGCGCATGTACGTAAGCTCACCATCAGGGGTTTCAACACCTTCACCACTAGGCAGTACACCAGCACCCATTGAAACAGCATGCAACATTTGCATTACACTTAGATCATCATCAGTTGGCTCTCTTTTTATGCCATACCCAGTTTTCTTACCATTACAATACATTGTCCATATGGGCTCCTCAATGAGCTTGGTTTTGTCGGACGGGTGCTTTTCGCACTCTAGCGCGATCCTCACTAGGCCTAAGCCCATGTCTTGCAATAGCTTCCCGGTTGGGATGGCTAGCTCTAGCAATAACATGGGGAGGCACCTAGGATTTTCTTGGATTGCTAGGTTTACCCTTGCTTTTCGGAACCCAAAAAGTGTCCCGGTTATCCGGGTCCCACCATGGACATGCCCGTCGTTGATTCTACCGGACATTGGAATCCGACATGTAGGGGATACAATGGGGAAGGACCTAAAGACAGAGCGTACCCTTCTTAAGAGTTTATTTGATTTAGTAGGGTTTTTCCTCTGAGAGGGTGCTTGGAGGGATATTGGTCCTCGAGGTGACAATGACATGTTTGGCGTGGTTGTAGCTCCGGATTGAGGTGGTGAAGGGGGAGGATGTGGAGGTGGAGGATGAGGAGGGGACCGTCGTGGTGATGATGTCGGGGATTGTCGAAGGGGTGCAGGCATGGTGAGGGTTAAAACAAGAATCAATGTGCTAGTACAAGAAAACAAATGTTAGAAATTTGGAAAGTTTATAGACAAATGAAAGAAGATATAACAATGTAGTTGCTTTGGAAAGTAGAGTTTAAGAAGAGAATGTTGTGGATTGCACGTTGAGTTCGGCCGTGCTGCTGATAACTTCAGCATGAAAACTCCCTCACTTCACCTTACAAGAGTGAGTCAAAATATGTTGTTAATGCCGGCTGTTCTTGAATGTTAAAATACTTGGAAAACAAATATTAGAATTTCTCCAATGAAATCAGAAAAAATTCTTCTATGTATTAATTCTGGAAATATTAATGATATACTGTTAATTTTCTAAGAAAAAAAAAATCATGATATGAAAATACACATAAAACTATATATTATAAAATAAGCTAGACATTTATTTTAAGACATAGGTCAAACACAAGAATTTGTGCAAGTCACTCCACAAATTACATCTAGACGTGCTTAGCAGTCTGCAGTCTGCACGTTGGCATATTCTATAATCTATACTGCGAGGGCAGTTCCACAAATAGAGCAATACAGTTCATAAACAAAGTGATCTGCAGTTTTCATCCTATTGATTATTCGTTACGTTTCGAAGCTTTCAGTTTGCAAATCTTTTGTAAATTAAATACTACGTTCCCTCGATTAGTTTATGGAAACCGGAAAAACTAGTTTACAGTTTTCAAAATTGACGTGATCAATGTATGAAGACTCAGTTTATAAATTATTATGCAACTTATATGCACAACTTAATTCAAAACCAACTCAAAGCAAACAAGTAGTACGAGCACCAAGAAAAAGTAATTTAAGAATATACACATTCTTACATTACCAAAAACATCTACCACATTTAGTAAAGTACAATTACAATATCTACACTGAAGCATGCTACGCATAACTGTTAAAGAGGATGCATTTAGTTGACATGGATCAACATCAATTTTTTTTACAAAAACAAATACATGACTACCTACTAAAATATGTTACAAAGTGTACAGGTGAAACTGAGAGTATACAGGGAACTAACTGGAACTTTCAGAAGCATTTCCTGTGAACGATTGAAGGCCCGGTTTCATCATAATCTGCCTTGGTCACATGCTGATTCTGAGGAAATACAACTTTGGCAAGAATTGCACCTCCAATCCATGCTGAATACTTGGTTAAGTCTTCAGGCATATATTCTGGTGCCTGTTGAGCAAAGGGCATCAGTACAAGAAGGGAAGGAATTCAGCAGATACATACTCCCGTATTTAGGTAATGTGGCAAGCTACTATCAGAAATTATTATTTCTAACCAAGAGATAACTCATGGAAATTCGGAAAGGAAATTACAATATAAGAGAGATAGAATCATCTTAAGACATTTTAAACTCAAATGTTTGCATGTTAATCACATTCTTCCTCCGTTCTTTTTCAATTGCAACCGAGGGGGTAGGGGGGAGTGGGAGATGCAAAGTTTTAAAGAAAAGGAGAGAGATAAAAAGGGATCCTTGTGATGAAGAGTTAACCATTAGCTAAATTAAGTAATGTAGTAATTGTTTTGCAACTTCCCAATTTCCCAAATATGAATATGTGAGTCAGTGAGAGTGACCTATGAGGAAAGCAATACTATCATAATTTCATGATCATTAATGAATTTCTTCACTTCTTCAATCATTGTATTCCACATGTCGTAGAAACTGGAGTCCATATCAATCCTCAAAAAATTCGTCATCGTGAGTGTAAACTCAATAAAAGCTGATCCCACCAATGCATCACTAACCAGCAAATCCTTCACCTCCCTAGGTTTTAGTTCACGATATGGAAATTTAAATTACATTTGTCTATATAACTTAAAAAAAACAAATAGATATATTACCAAAAACCCAACTCTTGCATGGCCCATCTTTATACTCCTGCTGCTTTCTATAGAGTAATCTTAAATTGCTGTGAATATAAACAACAGCCTCCAAATCTTTAGAAGTGAGCATGTTTCTCTTAATAACTGGTTTGCCACAATATGTGCTCTAACACTTCCCGAAGAAGATGAATAAGGTTGTGAAAGCAGTTTGAATGCTAGGCTTTGAAACTTGTTACAGAACTGTAGTTGGACTGCAAAACAAAGGGTCTAAATATGCTCTTCCTCTATGACGTGGTACACTAAAGTATCCTAATCTCACGGAAAATGAACCATATTAAAGGAAAACTTTCCATACATCTTTAAAACGGAGAAGAGTCTTCACATTTCATCTCTATTGTCTAACAAATTGGCTTTCAGTAATGACTTGGGTAGTGCAGGGCTTAAGAATCCTATTAAAAGAGCAAAACTAAAAATATTACTTTCCTTGAATCTATCAAAACAAGGATATGATATGCAATAAATACTCCCAGCTCTCACAAATATGAAGTATAATCTAAACATCAAAACTCAACAATAGAAATTAACTTATCCCATACAGCAAGGCATTGGTAACAGTGTCAAAGATGCATGTTACCTTAACCAGAGAAGGACGGATGGCTGAGCTACTTAAGTTGCACTCTTTCTGGAATCTGTCTTCAAAGCCTGCAGTACCAAGCAAAAGTCAAGATTCTTGAGAGCTCATCCAAAGATATACCAAAGTATAACAACTACATCCAGCATCCATTTACATAAAATTAAAAAAAAATAAATAAATAATAAAAACCTAAGAAACTAATTAGGACAAGGTTGTTGCGTCAGAGAGATTCTAACTTCTAAGCCTCCCAAACAAGTTTTAAACACTAGGGCTTTGATCTTAAGTGAGTTCCAAACAAAGTCAACTATGGGAAAAGGACATGTAAGTGGGGATTTCAGTACGTGATTATAGAACAATTTTAGCATCAAAAGGCTAGAAGGGTTCCTGAACCACACCCTTCTAAATACGGGAAAGCACATGACTCTCGCTAAGTTGAATGTCCCCAAAATTTACAAGAATTTGCATAAAGAAAAAATATATATATATATATATATTGATATAATTAACTTTGAAGATTTAAATAATTATAAATTGAATAATCCAAACTTCTTTGATGGTGAAAAACCCTGCAAACATTTGAATATTAATTTTTATTCTTGATTAAAAAGAGTGAAAATATTTTTGGAAATTTTATTGAAACTCGAAGAGGAATATTCTAAGTTTGATCACTGTTAAGACCCAAACCTATGATGGGAAATTGATGTAGAGATTTAAAGATAAAATATCCCAGCAGTTAATTAACTTCAAAATGGTGTGAATAATCTTATTTACCAAGAAGAAATGGATTTCAGGCACAATTCTTTGGATTCAAAGAAGCACTTCCAGCGTTCATCTACTCGTAAGAACTTGCTAAAGTTTTTAATGTGCTTATGTGCATTGAATGTAACATACGATACCTTAGTGCTAGACCATGTGAAATTCAAGGCAGGGTGAGATGGAATTGTGTAATTGTGTCAAGCATTACTGTTATCCCAATGCCTCTGATACGGATCTAATGAGTCTAATCTAGGATGATAAAAGGGAGTTAGATACACAGCCTTAACCGTATTGCAAATTTGCAAAGAGATTCTTCGAGGCTTACACCCAAAATAGAAAATATATTGTTTCTGTTTAATCATTGATCTGAAAGCCAATACAATTTATAAGTCTTTGGAGCAGCATGACCAGTTTGACCACCAAATCCTGTATAACTGTTATTACACTTACATGTAACATTGAATCCACACAAAATTACTATATTCATTTGGCCTTTAGAAATGCTCAGAATGAGGGGATTGTGAACAGCTAGAAATATAATTTTCAAGTGCAAATTGAAAAACAAATTTAGATTTACTGGTGGTCAGCATTTACAAACAATAAGACCCAATATAAACAAGATTTGTTTCGGTTGTGCATTATTATTTTTTTATCATGATTTGTGACAATCAAATAGAACTTACCAAACAGCCACCACTCCACCAGGTAAAACTAAGGGAGATTCCTTTATGCTTTAGATTTTATGCATTTCACAAAAAAGTGTTGCATTCCAGTACTCTAGCAAGGTACAGAAGTTGGGAAGTTCTTGGTCTTTGACTTACCAGCCATGCAAGATGTGCCACCACAGAGCACTGTGTTTTCCAGAAGCTGACGGTGATTCTCAGATGATACAGTGGATATACTATGTACCAGCTGCTCAACAATTCCATTCGCTTCTAAACCCAATATAGAAGGCTGAAATAATGCTTCACCAACAATGTATCTTTCTCTTCCAATTGTAATGACCTGAATATTGCATGCAAAAGGACAGGGTCAGTGTATGTAATCTAATACATTCAGTACCATGTAATTAAGGTATGAGTAGATGAGGTGATACACATAGATATTGAGTCAGCTAATTCAAAGAACTACAGAAAATTATCTGCTAGCAAAGCATGATATGATATCTTGAAAACCTAGCTATAAGCTATAAGTGAAACCAATAGATCAGCACCTCTTCATTTATTTTCTTCACTAGGATTACCGTTACTCTATTATAGAAACATTAGGCAAACTCCACCAAAATCCTAAATCCAGCCTTAAAACTTTTCCTTGTTTAACCCCAATACAAACATCATGTCCCCTATCATAAAGTGAAAATGGCAGCTTCCAAAAATTATTTCATCTCCTAGAGAACACTATCCTAATCCAGGGATTCCGATCTGAGAAGAATTTCAAAGTCTCCTTCACAAATACAGAAGTCCAAGCAGTTATTCGACCAGATAGGTATAACATGCATCTGAACCTCCCCAAATACTGCCCAAAGCATAAAACTTAATGGGGGTGGTTATTATGATCCAAACAAGCTTTCATCCCATATGGAACTTTTGAGTTACAAGTAGAACCGTAGGAACCAATAACCTAACTTGAGGATTCCCAACAAACTAGCCAAGTCTAAACTAGTCAGGCTGAATACATGCTATATTGTAAGATCTAATGATGTCCTCTATCCTTATATCATGCTTTCTAATAATAGCATATGCAAACATCAATCTTAACACATAATAGTGCTCTTTGAATATTAACAGCTATACTAGTTTCTTAAATAATGAAGAGTTCTGTACTAGATCTACGCAAGAATCTAGAATTACTCTTTTTTGTATCAAACTATGATTCCATCATCCATTTAAAGAGGGAATGAGTCATTATTTTTCCATGCCCAGTTACCTTGTGAGAGGTTACAAACACTCATTTTAAGATCGCACTTCAGAGAAGGGATTTTGTAATATAAAATCAAGGGAGATTGTGCAAGGTGGGTGATTATAAATAAATGCTTGTTTTTCACCTACTTTATTAGTGAGGGGTATATGGTGTTGGTTTTTTCCATTGTCTTGTGACTTCCTCACTTTAGATTTGTTTCAAAATTTGTCTTCTTTGCTTTTACTGATGATCAAAATCATAAATTATCAATCGAGTATATATAAAAGCCAGCAAGAAAAAAAGGAATTTACTAATACTTGGGGAAAGGATCTTAAATTGAAAATTAGATCAATAATTTAAGTGGTAAATCAGTAAAAAACAAATTGGAAAGAAAAAAAAAAAAGAAAAACCTGTCCATCAGGAAGTGTATGTTGTTCTTTCTGAGAGTTATGCAATAGCTTCTGATAAGCAAGTTCATCCTCAGCACAACAAGAAATCTTCTCTTTCAATCTTTCAATATCAGACAATTTCAGATTCACTTCAGGATTTGATTTTCCAAGTTCCCGAGCAAGTAACTTCGTCAAATCAATGCCTCCAACCTCAAATCTTCTTGAAGAGATATGATGAACTGCACCTTCGATAACTGGTGCAATGTCTGCAAGTGATAAAAAGTTAAGTTACATACCCTTGACTTTATCAAAGGAACTTAATATGCAATAAAGACCTTTGATGAAAAAGATTTGGATACTTCTATTTGGATATTTTCTATATCAAACTAAGACCACAATACTTCCTCGGTTCTCTTTTAATTGCAGCGTTTCAACTTTAACACTTGTCAATACACTACTCTAACCATGAAAATCTTAAATCATGTATTGTCAAATATTATAAAATAATGATATCGAAACAGTAGAACTACAACAATCTATTGCAGTTTAACGTTTATCTTTACATACTATTACAAGTAAAGAGATTGTAAAAGTAGGATGCCTGAATAGTGCAAAAGTCAAAATCTTGCGATAAAAGTAAATAGAGGAAGTATGGGGTTTGCTTTATAGATAAAACTTCCTGATATTAAGCAAATATCCAGATTTAGCTCAATAAGCCTCTTAAGGTAATATGATAACCTGAATGACTTTAGATGTAAGATACTAAACCCAAACGCATCAAGTTCAACTTTGGATCCTCCAAATTGGCCCAGTAGTCAAACAATTAGACTAGTAAAATAAAAATAAACAATATTTGCACCTCCTGCATGCTGACTTGTGTTAAAGTAAAGAGGAAAGGTAGCTAACCGTTGCACTCTCGCCCAATCGGGAGCTAGTACAAGTGTTTTTTTGAAACGTTTGCTTGCCCGGTCGAGTGCGAGTGCAAAGTTAATTTTCGTCGTTTGTTCACCGGGTCGGGTGAAGGATCGCCCGATCAGGCGCACATGCAAGTTGAGATTACATATCACTCTCGCCCGGTCGGGCAAACCTCGCCCGATAGGGCGCGGTTGCACGTCAGCAAACCAACAACTCTTTTCTCTTCCTCTTCCTTTGTAACTCCCTCTTAACGCCCACAATTAATGGGATGTTTAAGAGGTTGTTAACCCCCTTTTTATTTCAAATTAAGTCCACATTCATTAGGTCTTCTTCAACCTCTTGAATTTCCTGTGATTATTCTATAAATTCCATGAAAAGAAATCAGATTTACACATACAAATATTAGCTAAACACATTTGTTCTTTGGGCATAAGTTTACTTTGACTCCACCTCTTACTCGGCGATTACAATTGTGCACCCTGGTTGCACCGGAATTCGTTTTCGAAGGCAGTGATTTATCACGCCACAACGAATTTCCTCTATTATATTGTTCTTGTTTATTTCCGTTGACTTTTTGAATTAGACTCCATTTTTACAACTTGTATCTCATGGAAGAATGAAACATCCATGCCCGCGCAAAAATAAAGAAAATTACATCAGGACAAGTCATGTGTGTTGGGACTAGGATAGTGCTTGTAGAAATTCCTACACCTGGGAATTGGAAGTCATTAAACTATTTCATTTTGCAGCTGAGGTAAGTAAACAGAGCTAGCCAACAATAAGGACCCAGCTTGTTTTTGCGGCTAAATAGAGAATTCTGAAAAAGTTAGTCATGTGTATTGGTGGGGTAACCCTCTTACAGATATATCCACTATTTCTGAATGACAACTACTGCGATTTTGGAAACAGCCCTTCCACCTGTCTAGACAGGTTAGGTGGTAAGGAGGCAATATGAAGACCTTGTGAGACCTTAACTCCCTATGAATGGAAGGATACAAGTCAGGCTTTTATTTTTTCTGTCATTGTTAGGAACATGAGTTGATGAGCATAATGCTGAAACTGCATTTTTGCAGATCAAGCATAATTATTTAGGCTATTTGATATAGGGATCATCACCAGAGAGCTGACAGGAAAAGGCACTTTGCAGTTTGCAATCAAGTCTAATATCTTAACCTTAGTGTACATATACGCATCTCTTTAATTAGTATAAACACTCCACATACACATTAAAATCAATTAAGAAGAAACATATATTTGTTTTAGATTCAACTACTTGACTATAGTTCAGCTACAATGAAGCATTCCATCAATAAAAGAAGACCACAAGTAATACTAAGCATCCACAAGGAAATGCAGATTTCCCACAATTAAACGTTAAAGCTAAAAAATAGGGCGAATAACTTTTAAAACATCAGTTTCTCAATTCTATATTCACAGACCTATCTTTCCATGACCAATATCAACTGAGCAGCCAGATATACGCCCTACAGCATATAGTGATAGAACTCCTTGTTCTGCAGCATAAAACCCTGAGACATTGAAAGTTTCAAACAGCAGTTGGACCAATTGTTCTCGTAGGCCCTGCAATTGTTCGAGAGTACAACAATACTTGAGATTTGAGTAACAGCTACAATGTGAATCACATCAACAAGATTGGATTGAACATGTTTGTCGATGTATAATATCATGGATCTACTAGAAAAGAAATGTATATGCAATAATTCCCTGGTTAATACTACACACATGCAAAATTGTATAGAAATGAGACCAAAATCCATACTAGAAAGTAGAAACAATGAGTAAGATCTCAGGTTCAGTTACGGATAAGAAGCACACTCCATCTGCTCTTCTTTTCTTACATATATAGATGAATTATGGATATCTCATTAAATCATAATAAATGTGCAGTGAGTAGGGCTGAGCAAAACTATCTGATAATCCGAAAATCCGATCCGAAAATTTAGGATAACCGATCCGAAAACATTTTCCGAAAATCCGATCCGAAAATTTAGGATAACCGATCCGAAAACATTTTCGGATCGGATATCCGATCCGAAAATTTCGGATATCGGATATCGAAAATTTCGATTTCGGATATCCGAATATCCGAAAAAGTCGGATATCGGATATCGGATCGGGTATCCGATCCAAAATCCGAAAAAAAAAAACACCTTTAAAAAAAACAAAAAAAAAAAAAAAAAAAAAAACCTTATTTTACAAAAATTCGGACAAGGATAACCCTAAGTCCCTAATCTTGAATCCGCCTCTTTCTCTTTCTCCTCTATTTTCTCCCTCCTCCTCCCTAGCATCTCCTCCTCCCTCCTCCTCCTCTCTCATCTCAGATCTCCTCCTCCCTCCTCTCTCATCTCAGATCTCCTTCCTCTGCGAACTTGTATACACGCTGCGCAATGATGCATTCCAGTGTCAAATCACTTCGCTCAATCTGCTGCTTCTCTCAGAATATCAGAACATCTTTCAACACTTGTTCTTCTTCATCTTCTTCATCTTCTTCATCTTCTTCATACTCTACTCAACCATTGAACACCTCCTCAATTACCGTGCTATTGTGCTAACCAATACTCTACTCAACCATAAAAGAAGCATTTGAGAGCTTCAAATCTGAAATATGGTCGTCAGACCCAAATCTATTTTCTCTTTTAATTCATGGTTGTATTTCTTAAAATTCGATTTCATGGGGAATACAGCTTCATGCTATTACAATTACTTATTGATTAGATTATTCCTTGATTTAGTTTTTTTTTTTTCAATTTTGGATAAAAACCCATATTATTAGATGGGTCAGATATTGGATATCCGAACTATCCGATCCGAAAATTTCGGATCGGATACGGATATCAAATATATGATTTTTCGGATACGGATATCCGATCCGTGCTCACCCCTAGCAGTGACCTACATCAGGAAAAAATTTGAGTTTTTTTTTTTCCTTGTCTTGAATAAGCATCATAGCTTTAAAGTCTTATCTTAGTAACCATAAATTTTTACACTAATTCCTTCACAAGATAGCATGCTTAAAAAAATATTTTCAAGCATAACCTACAAAATCTATTCCAAAATTGTGGAATTACAATGAAAACATGGAATACTTCCATTTCATCAATTCACACTATGGTCGTAAAGAGCAACGAAACACTCACAAGATTCCACTGCAGCCAACACCTTGACTATTACCCAGATCAAAATGTAATTGCAATTTATTTTAAATAGTTGGGTCAGGTCATGTAGCTCACAACTTGCTTGGATTATATTCAAATAATTTCACTTTGGCCCCTAACACCATATATTAGCATGAAAAAACATGAAAGAAGCCCACGTACTAGTATCATTTGAGAATGATTCATGTCCAATTACAATCACTTCCAACAAGAAGTATTCAGAAATTATACGAAAGGGAGAGAGTAATAATCTTTGACCTTCGGAGTTAAAAGTGGATCAGTAAATAATATCTGCCCTTCGTTTCCCATTTCCCATCCAAGGCCAGTATAGAGAACATGATGCAGCAAATCTTCCATGGCATCCCAATCTCTAACGAAGCCACGAACAATGGGGTCAATCATGATATCCTCAACTGTTGAAGTATTCACTGTTGAACCCTCCTCCAAGACCTTCTTCATCTGAGTAGGAATTACCTGTGACTCATTGGATAAAATCAATAATGTTAATGTCAGTTGCCATCATGGGAAACAAATTTCTCATGATCACGAAAATCTTCCTCTCGATGTTCTCACATATTTTAAAAGAGGAATAAAAGGAAGGATCAAAATGGGGTAAGTGAGTGAGAAGTTTCTACAACTTAAATGTTTTTTGTACTTGCGGGGAAACAAAAGCATGGATCGATATCAATTTACACCTCTTTTCATAGTAAGGGGAAAACCAAATTTCAATTATCATTAGCATCTCATTGCAACATATGTGCAACCTTTGCATAAAACAAGGTAGCTAAACCTTCTCATATAAGCCAGTTTTGAAGTGAAAAGATTCAAGGGTCAAAATGGGTGTCGAAAATCATAATTGCCAAAACCCATATCTGCAATCCAAAGCTCTAGCAAAAGCAGACTTCCCTACATCTATAATGGGCAATCTTGACTAAAATATTTCCATCTCATACTTGACGTACTAATTTGGCTAGACTACCATACCCGATCATGCGTGTAATGACTCCTTTCTAATTGTTTAACCCTCTTCTAAAAGAGGATACCACCAAATAGTACCACAAGTCCACAAGTGAACAGCATAAGTCATCCTAAATTTCGAGGAAAACAAAAAACATTTCACTGGGCAGATTCTTTAGCCTTCTAACACATTATCTCTCCTGTCCCTAAACAATAATAACAACCTATATCCAAAAAATTAGGGGAAATTATGACATTTATCCAAAAACTGGGAACTTTTTTTCGCTTAACAAGCATGCATAAGAACATCCAAAGCAAACATTCACCCATTTATCCACAAAACACAAGAAACATGAATTCATGATATTCATTGAAACAATAACGCCATAAAAATCCTACAAATTAAAGCTGATAATATTAATTTCAAAGTAAACCCATAAAAAAGCAAAGGTAAGCAACATAAATTAGCTTAAATTGGATTCTTTAAATTCCTAATCAACATGCAATTAAAGACGTCAACAGAAAAAGAGTTATTAAAAAATAACAAACTTTGGAAAATACGTTGACAAAATATTAACAGACACCCACAAAATAGAAGAGAAAAATTAAATCAAGAAAATGAAAGCAAAAATTGAAATTTGAAGGTGGGTTTTGGCAGAAAATGTTGAAGGGTAAAAGAGAGGAGAGAGAAAGAGAGTACCAAAGGTGGGTTTTGATCAGGAATCGCAAAACCAGCTTTGAGAAGCTTGGAACCAGCATCCACTACCACTGCTTCCATTTTTTTTTTCTGGGTATGTTGATAATCTGGGTTTTTGCATTGATTTACAGTTATAAACCCTTCAAGCGGGTGACCCTATTTATTTGAATTTAATTACTCACTAACTCTAATTGGGAGTATTAAGTAATCCACTAATCCGTGCAGTGTACAGGCTTTTTAATTTAACTACTCTGTAGTTAGTACTCATTAACTATTTTGTACTCATTAACTTCTCCATATTACTCGTTGTAATAATTACAACACTTTCTTACTCCCTCTGTCCCATAATACTTGACACAATTCTCATTTTTTTCTGCCCCACAATACAAAGTTTGGTTGAATTTGCATTTGGGATGGAGGCCTCGTATGCATTTCCTATGTGTTAAGTATTGTGTCAAGTATTATGGGACGGAGGGAGTAAGAATACTTGTTTGGTTCAATGTGGGAAATGCAAATTCCTTGGAAATGTATATTCCCATATAATTGGAATTCCTAGGAAATGCTAAATTGTGTTTGGTTAACCATGAAAAGTGGAAATTCCATTCACCTAAAAGTCTCCCTAGGTAATTAAATACCTCCATTTTGTGGGAAGTGAAAATTCATGAAAATTTCTATTTCCCATGATTTTGTCAACCAAACAACTCTAAAGAATTTCAATTCCTAGGAATTTCAACTTCCCATGTTTTTATTTATCAACCAAACGAAGCCTAAATATGTAATGAGACCACTAATAAAAAAAAATATTTTCTCACATTTTCTCTTTCCTCGCCTACCCCCACTCCCACCCCATTTGTTGTTTTCTTGTAATATAAAAATATAGAAGATAATCTTTTACACAATAAACAAATGATTTAAATAGACCCACTTGTAGTTTTCTTAAAATACGTGTCTACCTCAACGTCCTAGGTAATGTGGGATGGAGGGAGTATTTAGTAAGAATTCAATATCTACAATATTATTAAACACAAATTCTTGATTAAGGGGCGAACTTTCGTTAACTTAATAAGACGGGTTAAAATTATCCTAACACTATCTAAAGTTACCCTTATATACTACAAAAGTTACCATTTTTAGAACATAAAATTTACCTTTAAAAAACACTTATAATGTATTAGATTAATCATATTAGCGTTCATAGAATGTATCCATTATAAATTACACATTAAAATACAATCAAACTCATTGTAAATTAAAAGTTATTCTTAAAGAGGTTAAAGTTACCATAAAAATTGTTCAAAATTTCCCTAAAATTGACCGTCTTACAATAAAATTAACGTAAGTCCAGACCCGGCCCTTAGCATGTGCAGGGTGAGCTACTGCACAGGGCCCATATGTTAATGGGGCCTCAAATTAGTTAGATAATATAAAAAACAGTTATGTGTATTTTAAAAATATTGGAGTGTAGCTCAATGGTCAAATACTTTAGCATGTTTATAAACAGTCTAGGTTCGAGTATTGTCAGCCTCATTTTTTTGTACCCTTAAGCTTTAAATATTTGTCATCCTACTGACTACTCCTCGTTACCAATAGTGAAACGCTAAACATCGCCCGCAATTTACCATATAAAGCCCACAAATATGATATGATTTGACCATTATGCCCTTTTTCTAAAATTGAAATAATCTCGGTGTAAAAAATGTGGAGCCGTACTGGCTCGCCGGGGGAGACCGGATGGCAGGCCGGAGATGCGGGGGACGCCGGAGGTACGTCGTCGTCGACGGAAAACGAGGTAAATCACCGTTAAAATTCACGGTTTACCGTCGGAGTGGCTGCGGCGCCTAGAATAAACGCCACAACCGTGGCTGTGGCGTCCAGCCCAGGCGCCAGCCAACTGGTGGCGGCGTCTGCATCTGGCGCCACCACCGCTGGCTGGGCGTCCAGCCAGGGCGCCCCACCGCGTTCACGGCGGTTTTTCCCTTTTTTTTTTTTAAACAAAATGTACCTTTCCTCCTTGGGACATCCTTCCCTCCGTCGCCGCCGCCAATTCCTTGCCTTGCCGCCTCGACATTGCCGTTATTTGAAATTTTTTTTTTTTAGAGAAGTTGAAAGAAGATGAGCAATGAGAGTGTGAGTGATGAGAGTGTGAGTGTTTTTTTTTTTAAGGTCAAGGGCAATTTTGGCAAACCAAGTGAATTTTGTGGGCTTTATGTAGTAATTTGTGGGCGATGTTTAACAAATCCCTACCAATAAGCTTTGGGTATCAACCTTTAATTAACAAACTTGATAAATCATCCACAATTTGCTAGCATTTTTTTTTGGCGGGAGCAATTGTGATTGTTGAAAAGTTGTATTTAATTAATTAATAATTTTATACTATAAATTGAAAGAGGGCCCAATTTATTCTTAATCACCACAGGGCCTCAATATACATTGGGACGGCCCAGCGTAAGTCCGCCCTACACAAGACTTTACCATTATTAAAACTCAAAGGAATAACATGTTACCGCCATGTATCACCGTTCCTTCAATATGATTTGGCGCCACATGAGCGTTATGTATCACCTTATGTGTCATCATCCATCACCCTAAAAATCTTCATATGTGTAACCTTCATAGTTAATTTTTCCCATAAAATGCAAATCCTAAGTCACTGCACAATAATCTACAGTTTGACATAGGAATATGACATAAGAATTGGGTATATGGGAGTGAGAGTTTGGAGATTAAAATATGACATAGGAATTGAGAATATGTTAAATGAGTAATAAAATTACAAAATTACCCTTACTAACATTTCTCCGAATCTTTTCATAAATGGAAAAAAAGTCAAATTTTTACCTATTCCAATTCCGAGCAATAATTTATTACATACCCTTCTTAGATACTCCCTTTATTTTTTAAATAATGTTATGTTTTCACTTTAGGCGTTCATTCCCTTTTAATAGTTATGTTTCGTTCATTTATAGAATTAAATATTATATAAATTAATTTTTTTTTACACACTCCCCTCATACATACAAATTTTCTATGCAACTATCCCCATTTATTAAAATATATATTTGCATACTGGCATACCCCCAATCTAACTATTCTTATTTACAATTAACCCAGAAATTTATTCCTATTTAATATTTACATATTTCCATTGCAAACATTTCTATTTTCAAAGTTAGTTTAATGCCTTAATACTTTATATACTACATATGTAACATCGAGTCATTGATTTCCACTATCTTATATTCTTTATTAATCGTGTAAAATTGCAAATTATGCAAACATAACCTTCTTTCAGGAACGAAAGTAGTAATAAAATAGTGGGAATTGACCTCATCAATTTCCAATCTCATTCTGTTGTTCTTGTTTCCAATCTTATCAAACAAACAAGAAGTTTTTTTTTTTTTTCAATTGCGATTAAATCGATCTATCAATCCCACCCTTAATTCTTGGGTACCAATAAATGATTTTCAAAGAATGTAAACATGTTGTAACCATGCCTTGAAATCAATGTCAAATTGTAATGAACTGACTTCAAATCCACATATCTCTCAATCTACAAATGATTAAAGTGCAATACAATAATGATTCACGTGGGAGGTGATAGTTTGTTTCGATGGCTTTCCAACAACTGGTCATATGCCCATTTTGATGAAATGTTAATGACTAGAATGTTCGCCTACATCATTGATGATTTGCCCACACCTTGGGTTGGTTGGCCCGAATCTACTTTGTTTCCTTTTACGCTAGTTTTCTGTTTTTAGTTTCTTTGCTTATGAAAGCTAATAAAGATTCTTTTAGGGTTTTTTGGTTTCCTTATGTTGTAAGATGAACCTTTGGGTTGTCATTAAATTTAGGTTGAACAACTTTGGAGAGACTCCTTGTAACCCTCTTGTTATTTCACCATTGAAGATTAGAAAAGCTCTTGGTCTCTAACTGTGTGGATTAGGTCTTATTGACCAAACCACGAAAACCTTCCTGTGTTTTGTTAATCTTCTTTATTGCTTTCTATTCTTTTGTTTACTATTTGACTATATTCTTTAGCCTTAATCTTCAAACACAACACCACATATTTCATAATAGGTATGTTATCACGTCACAAGTTAGATGTCACCCCTTTCACTTATTATAGGGTATCGTATCACACAGTAGAGGAAGTAATAGCGGAGGTTTGGGAGGCATTACTACCATGCCTCAAAAATTTTCTCAAAAATATTACAGTAAAATAACATACAAGAACAGTGGTGTGGGCAATCCATTCAACAAAAAAAAAAAAAAAAAAGGTGGTGTGGGCAATTAATAGTATATAATTTTATACAAATTGGTTGAGAAACTCATCCACGGTTGTGTATTTTAGCTCAGGATATAGTATTGTGGCTTCCAAATCGAATGATGAATTGATATCAAAGTTGGATTGTTGTCCTTCACAAAAAAACTGAGTGAGCAATTGATAGTATTATCTTCAATAATGCATCTGTTGCATCTGTAAACAATGGAAGAAGCTTTAAATTTTTTGTTTTGATAACAAAAATTTGAGCCATAACTCATTAATTAACTATAGCACAATTTTACAAAAATGTAGTAACTCCCTTTAATGTTGTTATTACATCCATTTTATAATAATTGACATAGTTAACCTTAACACATTTGCTGATGCACTTATTTGACCCTAAATAAAAAATACTTAAATAACAGTAGTAAAAAAAATTTAAAGTTGATGTTATAAAACTTTATATAAATATCTATCTAACAAAATTTTACATGATAATATATACTTCTTCCTTTTAAAAAAAAAAAATTGCACCATTTGAATTGGGTAATATGGGTATAATAAAGATTTAAAAAGAAATTAAATAACAAAAATGTCCATGTGTATACAAACAAATTAAAAGAAAAAGAATAAAAGTTAGGTAACAAAGATAAATATCACATGTAAGCAAAGGTAGGATGGGTATTTATTTTGTATGTGAACACAAACAAAAAATGTATGAAAATATACCTTAAATAGAAATTGTGCAATTAATATGTAACTTCCTAAAAAGGAATATGGTGCAATTAAAAAAATGGAAAAAGTATCTATAATATGATAAACATTATAGCCAAGTTTGATACATTAATAATAATTATAATAATAAAAAAAAATCAAAGTGTATCAATTATTATAGAACGGATGAAATATTGAAAGAGT